ATTTTAATTACTTTTTAAAAAGAATGCTTACAGGGAAAGGATTTTTTTTTTTTTTTTTTTGGTATCAGGGACCTAACTCAGGACCTTGTGCTTGCAAGGCATGCACAGCGCCACTGAACTAAATCCCTAGCCCAGGAATGTTTTTAATTTGAAAGTTTTCTACTATTTTTTTTAAAACAGCAAGTAGGTTTTCATTCATTCCTGTTGGGTGTGGAATTCTTTGATTGTACAGATAGTGATAAAGTTAGTATTTGTTAGGGAATTGATCATGTTAAAGTGTGCTGTGACACCGCCTCACAGGCTGCATTCTCCTGGTACATCTTGGCTCCTAAAATGACCTCATGCCCTTATCTCTGGTTTCCCTCCCCACCAAGGCCACAGTGGTCCAGGAAAGTCGAAACCTGTGTCTGCAGGACTGGGCCCATAAAAACAATCTGGCCTGTGATAGGTTAAAAGTAGCTCACTCCTCATAAATAATCAATAGCCCACCCCAAAACTGATAAAAGGACCTTCCTTTCTTTGTTCTTCTCTCTCCTTCTGATTCTTCCTCCTCTCTCTCTCTCTCTCTCTCTCTCTCTCTCTCTCTCTCTCTACTCTCTCTCTACCTTCCTGCCTCCTGCTCGCCTCCCTACAATAAAGATCTCCTGCCAGACCTCTCAGTGCGTGAATGGCCTAATTGGGAAGGGGCACCGGAAAGGGTACGCGAACCCCCTTTCAGTATTCATATCCAAGAAGTTAATCCATATTCTTAACTACTATATTTTATTTACTGCCTCTCTGATGGGAACTAATACTTCATGTTGAACTGGTTATTTCCAAGTATAAAGACCACAGCAAAATAAAATTCAAGTTACCAGAGTGCAGGTTACACATGGCTTTGTAGCACCCTGTTATATAAGAAATATAAAGGAATTAAAACTTCAGGAAGGAGTTGCTGAGAACTGAAGTAGGGGATCTTTGAACTTCTATAAATTTCCTGTCTTTTTATATGTTGTTTTGCTTTTTCTCTGAATAAAATTTCACCTGGTACAAATTGATTTGTATGATTGTAGTCAGGGGGCTTATTGCCTACCTATGAGATTCATGTGGGTTCCTGGGTGAACCTTTAGTTGAAAGAATGTAACACTTTTATAGATAAATCTGAGCTCTTAGCACCATGAGTACTTCTGACTTCAGAATAACTTACTGTCTTTCTTTAAGACTAAGATAAGAAAATAACACTGAGTTGGCTAAACTACAGCTTTGGCATGTATTGGTGGACTTGCTTAGGATGCATTGCACAGGGCATTAGAGGATAACTGATTCAATAGATATGAGATACCACCAATGTACTCAGATATTGGGCAGATTGGTGGAAAGTAAATGGATGCAGTAACTGCACCAAGTCAAACTCCAAATACAAAGTCTGTGCTAGTTTATGATTGCATAACTTGCAAAGAGTATTCACTTATCTCCCGTGGGGAAAAAACAAACATCAAAACACAGCCCAGAAGGTGAGTATCCTTTGAAGTGGAGGCCTTTTCTTTTGAGTCAACAATATGGCCTAGGAGAATGCTATGTGCTCACATTTTTAGAGCAGTTGGACATATTTTTTGTGCAAACATGTTTGAAAATGATAAGGTGCTACTTTACTGTGGCCCTCAACAATTCTTGGAGATATTCAGGGCTTGTAGAGAAAACTGAATTATCAAACAATGAAAGAAATTCAATCTTTTTTGCTTAAGGACCTTGTTACTTGCTAAATGGTAGATATTTATTTCAATTCCTCTTTGTAATAAAAGAAGTTGTGAGGAGAAAGTTCTCAACAGTAGTTGTGTTTTTGCTTTGACACTTTAAGTACACTATATGTCTTAGTACTTTTCTCATTGCTGAGACAAATATCTGACATCCGCAAGTTAAATGAGGGAAGGGTTATTTTGGCTTACAGTTTGTAGAGATTTCAGTCCATACTTGGCTGGTTGTGAGTGAGGACAGCATGGCAGAGGGACGTCACAGAGGAGAAATAGTCCATGGCATGTCAAGCAGAAGGCAGCAAGCAGTAGCAACAATGAGCAGCAGCAATAGTGAGCAGCAGCAACAGCAGCAATAGGTGAAGTAACAGCAGCAAGCCTCCATTTCACTTTTATCCCTTCCAGTCTATAAGCCTTTTGGGTGGTGCCACCCACACCCACATTGGGCCTTCCCATTCTCTATACCCAGAACTATGTTAATCAATCAGTGGACTAATTTAGTCATCATACCCTTAATTCACATTCATGCACCCAAGATATAGCCACCTCCAGAAAGTCCCACCTATGAGTGCATGAGGCTTTGGGGTGACATCTAAATTCAAGCCATAACACTGTCTAAGAGAATGGAACTAGTATTTAAGGAGTGATTACAAAATACTTGGGTCTTTCAAACCTCAGGGCAATGCTCCAATAAAATTAGAATTTTAGACTGACTGACAGACTGAAGCATATCTGCCAAGATTAACCAATGTGCCATTGTCAGAAATGTAATTTAAATCCAAGTTTCATCCTAGGCTATACTCTTTTCACTACTATATAATGAATTCCTCATGGAATTGTGTTTAACCACAGATTAGGTACTTTCTGAACTTTCATGATTAGAGCTCAACATTATTCCAAATAAACCTACTGAACTTTATAAATACTTAATGCTAAGTACTTTTACTTCTCTCCTCTGAGCATGAAAAAAGCAATTTCCAGTTGATTGAATGCACTTTCAGACATGGTTTACCAGTAGAGTAGTTTCAGATAATTCAGCTGAGATTTTCTTATTTATTTTGTACTGATAGACACAACAGGTGCACTTTGAATTAGCTTAAGCATTCTTTCTGGGATATGAATAACTGGCCATCCGATGAGATATTCCTTATGGTTTCCATTCCAGGTTCAGATGAGATATTTCTTATGCTTCCCATTCAGGAAGAAGGTTATACTCAAAGGGACAGAAGGTGAGTTAAGGATATCTAACATATTGACTTACCACCTGCTCCTCAATGCTATCTATGCTTTTAAGAAGATAAGATTGAAGAGAATGATGTTGGTTTGCCATTCTATTCTGAGGCCTCATGAGCATTTTTCAAACCCTGATGAAATAGGGAACATTTCTTTCTTGCTAATCATGATTGTTACAGTGTGTGGAGCATCATCTATTCCTTCTGAAAAACCAACATGACTCTTCATTGAAATCCAGAATCTTGGGGAACTATGGATCTCAGTGTATCTCAAGGCTTATAAAAATCAACCAACAATGCAAATGACCAGTCCTTGGTTTATTCATCCCAAGAGTATTCTAAGAGTGAGGTGGAAATATTTCTGTATAGACTCAATTATGAACACCAGTCTGAGGAAATGCATATGCTACATTTTGGGGGTTTGTCTAGTTTTTGGACTCTGGATAAGGAATTAAAGATAGGGCAGTAATAACCACATAGTCCAAAGATAAGTTTCTTTGCTTATTGTTTTAAATTTGAATTTTATATATTTAAACATCTATGTTTATAGTGCTTTCTTTAAAATGTATAAAGATTTGTAAATTAGATTGTCAGATGTAGAAAAATTCCATTTTTGCAAGAAAAAAACCAAAAGATCTAAATCTAGGAGAATGTGTTACAGTCCGATTTCAGTTGCACTGTGGTTTTCTTACCCTGTCAAATTTTTTGGTCAACTGTCTATTGTAAACAATGACAAAATTTTATGAAAGAGATGTTAGTTATAATTTGTAACCTCAAATTGCAATTAAATGCCACTCATTTTATGTTCCTGATCTTATTGCATCTAGTTAGTAGTCCCATTTATTGACATGGGAATAGTAATATTACATGAATTATATTTAATAATGAACGTGAGAAATAACAATTTATCACTTGGCTTAATATTTGCGTGGTCAGTCTAAATCCTGCTTTTTTTCTTAGGGCATAGATTTCCATTGTGTCCACTCTTGGAATAATGCTGTTTGTATATACTTCTACAATGCTTATTTTATCTTAGACAGTAGGTATGAAATGGAGACCTCTTTGAGATAGTGCCGTTCATGGATATACCTCTTTTGATTGCAGACAACAGCAAAGCAAATATAGGCAGTTGCTGAAAATGAACCAGAGGTGCAGATAGGCAAAAATCAAGTTTTGTCGTTTTGGGAGGGATGAAAGAGGAGTGATAGGAATGGAAGGGGAGACAGGCTTAGCTAAAATAAATTCAAAAGAAAGGAATATACTCATAATTAGCCCTAAATTTAGGGTGACAAATAAAACTACAGAGACAATAAAATAGGAGAAAAACCATAATGTTAATAATGAACATTTGTTGAACTGTTATTTTATAGGGAAACTGAGACAGAGTGGTTGGTCAAATTACACAGCTGGAAGATGGCAAATTTTGAATTCTAACCCTGAGTAATTCTAATCTGAAACATTTTAAAATGGAGGATTAATAAAGTACATACATAGGACAAAAAGATTTAGAAGGAACAAGAGACAGAAGGAATAACTGGAAAACGATTGCATTTTTAAAAACTCCCAATGGGATAATTACTTGTGTATTATTGGCAGAACGCTTTGTGTATGTTAGCTGTTGTAATCTTGCTAACAACTCTGAAGTACTATTCGTTCTAGTATTTTTCCGACGAGATCACTTAATAGACGTTTGCACGGAGTTACACTTCAAAAGCTGACTCTGCAGCAAGGTAAGGAAGGCGGTAGACTTTGAGACAGTATGGAGTCGGGCGGGGCAAGCGGGTTAAAAGTGAAAAATTCAGGAAGTTTTCCTTTTGGGCAGAGGCCGGCTCTAGCATTCAAAACTCTCCAGCCGGCCGGCCAACGAATCACAAAACCCGCCCTCTGCCACTAGGCCACGCCTTGTTCTCTGAGCTTCCACGACTTCCCTCCTTCTCATTGACTCCGCCCACCCGCCTCGTATCATTTCCTGTGCGCCTGGTGCTGATTGGTCAAAAGGTCGGAAGTGAGGGCGGGCGGTGGGGCCGTTGCCGCAGTGACAGTACTTGGGGAGTCCGAAGATGGCGGCGTCGCGTCGCTCTCAGCATCATCACCACCATCATCAACAACAGCTTCAGCCCGCCCCAGGGGCTTCGGCTCCGCCGCCGCCACCTCCCCCACCTCTCAGCCCTGGCTTG